TTTGCCTGTGACTGTCCCAATTTTAAAATGGGAAGTTTTGAGTCCCGGAAACCCACAGTTCTAAGAAATTCAGAGCGATTATTCATCTAGTCAATAAACAAGTCCTCCAGAGTGACTCCAGGGACCAGTAAAGCCCCTTTGCTCCTGCCTCAGACGATATGTTGGAAGAACTGTCTCAGACCTCACTGTGGTTGGTCCCGTGAAAGTAGGTAAAGATGCTGTCATCCAGGGCTCTCATCCTGACAGGAGACACAGGTCATTCACACACAAGGTACTATAAGGGGACCGTGGATATACCTGGATCAGTGCAGTGGACAGAGGCCAAGCTGAAATGCTGTGGGTTCTCTCTGCATATTTAGGAAATGGGATTGGTGACCTGTAAGTTTTTTTGGAGGAGAAAATTTGGAACCTGAGAATAGGCAGAAAGTGTTGGAAGGAGATTCCTGAAGTGGAGAAAGGCAGAAAGAAGGCTACAATGAATTGTCAGGTGTGCACACATATGGAATAGGTGGACCAATTGGGCCTAGGAGAGAAAGGTGATCAGATGGCAAAGAAACCAGGAATAAGGGGGAGATGTGACAGGCAGTGAGGGATTACTGTAAGGTGCTGCTCAGGGCCTCAAGCATTTCTGGGCTCCAAAGACATTTTTTAATATTAATTATGTTAATTATGTTGTTCAACCCCCATCTTTAACTGTTCCCTAATTTTTCTGTCAGCCCTAACAGAAGCTCAGTGTTCTCTAAGCATTGTGCTATAAAGACATTTAAATAAAACCCCCAAATCTGAGGAGTCATTTTCTATAACTTCCCTGCCCTCTTCCTTTCCTTTAGCCTCAAGCCATGGTCAGATACCCTCTCAGTCCCTAGGAGTTTGGTTTCTCTGAAAGTCCTCCCAAGAATGTTCTAGAAACCACTGAAATTTCTTCTGTCTCCTGACCTCAGGGTCAGGTCTTTGGAATCATCTCTTCCCTGTTAAATGTTCCATGTTACCTGAACCTCAATTCTGCCCAAGAAGGGAGACTATTCTCAATAGGTTGGAAGGAATCTTAGTGTTCATGTCTACTAGTCCTCCTAAACTTGTATTCCACCAGTCCATGGGAATACAACATATCCAAAGGTAGCTGCTGCCACCATTAACTAGATCAGATCATAAGAAAGTTCTTCTTAAACGGAACCAGAATTTGTTACTTTGGTTTATTGATCCCAGCTCTTTTTTCTACAACTCCACAGAAATCTAATTTCAGTTTCATAAACGCTCTTAAACTACTTAAGGATAGCTATCCTGCTTCCTCGGGTATTTTCTTCTCTATTGTTGTTAGTTGCCAAATAATTGGCTTTGAGTGACCCCCGTGCACAGAAGAACATAACGTTGCCTGGTTCTGCACCGTCTTCCTGGTATGCCTGAGTTCATTGTTGCTGCCGTTGTACATTTTGAGTGCCTTTCAACCAATATGGCCAGTTTCCTGTTGTGACTCCTAGGCTTTTCATTGACTCATTTTTGGAAATAGATCACTAGGCCTTTGTTCTGATGAAACCTGTTCACCATACCTGCTGGTATTTGAAATATTAGTGGCATAGCTTCCAGAATCATAATAACATACAAGCCAATTAGTACTAAGACAAATGGACAGGTGGGTGGTGGTTTCTTCTCCAGACACAGCAGTTTCTATTATGAAAGTCTTTCAGGCCACTGATCTTGCACCCACACCCTCCCACCTGATCACAAGTCTCTGGAGACTAGCTTAGTTCTTGTTCTTAGTGGATCTTCCTTAAATATCTATTCTACACCACCTTCCCTTGAACTTCTTCCAGTTTGTATTTTTTTTTTTTCTTTTGGCATGTAGAGCCCGTAGTCCCACTTAGTCACACATTGAGTTAACTTTTAATTAAGACCCCTTACCATCTGGGACTCTCCTTTGTAATATTTCCCTCCCGTTTCTGAAGGGGTCTTTAGCACAAATGCAAACAGATGTGGCCCTCTGGCTGTATCTAAGCTTCCTCTTAGATGCTTCTTTGCGTTTTGTTCCTGTGGCCTAAGACTGTCCCCAGGGCACAAGGCCTCAGCCACAGCAGCCTTGGTAGAGGGTAGGTCAGAGCTCTGTGAGCATGAAGAAGGTTGTTATGACAGGTTCCCATGACAAAACTGGATGGCAGCTTCCTACCTGGCTGACATCTGCTCCTTCATCTGTCCTTCTGCAGTCTGCAGGGTCACTCCCTTCCATCTGTGTAAGATTTTCTGAAGTTTCTCCTGTTATCGGTGGTTTGTTCCTCTTGCTGGTATGACTGGGTTCTCCCTGCTCATTAATCCTGGAGTTTCCTGTTAGTGTCTAGATGTCTGATCATAGCTCCTTCAATGTTAGAGAACAAAGAAACTCCCTGGACATGAGCCAGGCTGGAAGTGTCAGACTCTCTCTTAGTGTTGTATTAATCTCTGCTGATAAGAAGGCTTCTCTGCTGACCACGGCCCTGGAGAGAAGCTGACTTGTTCTAAGGGTAAATAATGGAAACCAGGCAGGGGAGATCAGAAAGTTGTGAGTAAGACATTAGGATGTTCAGGGACTTAAGGTGCATAGGAGGTTTTTGGAAATGCTCCTTTGGTATATGTGGCCTCAGAAAAGATGACTCTCTAGCTCCCTGCTCAGGGACACCTCATTTGCCCGGATCACCACTGTCTCATCATTTAGTAGGTGTTCACTGAGCACTTGTTAGGTAGATGAATGAATGAGAATAAGACAGCTTCCAGAAGTCCTTTCTGGGTGTCATGGGTCCTTACTTCATGCAAATAAGAGTGTGGTTCTGGGGTCAGAGGGCCTCAGGTTAGAATCCTGACTTCATGGCTTACTAGCTTTCTGAGGCCAAACAAGTTCCTTAACACCTGAGTTGTTGTTGTTGTTGTTAAGTGCCATCGAATCAGCTTTGACTCATAGTGACCTTGTAGAGGGTTTCTGAGGAGCAGCTAGTGAATTTGAACTGCCGACCTTTCAGTTTAAACTGACCTTGCGATCTAGTGCTTTATCCCACAAGGGCAAACACCAGGACTCCTGAGTAGCTTTTCTTATCTGATGAAGGGCAATTCATGAACCTACCGAGGTTGCTCACAGGATTGTGTCGAGAACATGTGTAGAGTTCAGGGCCAGCAAGACATCTGAAGACTCAATGAGTATATAAGGCTTTGTATTATTTCTTGAATTCTACCTCCAAAGTCTATCCCAATTCCCTCTAGTCTGAAAATCTCTAAAATGGACGGACAGGAGTGATTCCAGAGCACAGCAAAGCCTCTCAGTTCAGCCAAACAGTGGAGGTATCAGCCTTTTGGGGGGAGCTGTTCTGGCCCTCCACCAGGGCACAACCATACAGGCTGGGTAGTTAGGACATCTGGGGAAATGAAAACGGGTCCTTTCATGCCTCAAGAGGATGTAACTTGGAATAATGACCTCTGGGCCCTGTTCTAACATCAGGGCACTGCTGAGGAAGCCCTTAGCCCTTTTATACAAACCTCTGAAAAGCCACAACCTTGTGTTCCCTACACAGCTGGAGGAAAATTTACCCTGAAATCCAGCCAGATGGCTCAGCAAAAAAATTTTGGTTCTCAAGTTTGTGTTCATTTCAGGTCCTGGTGTGGCGCTGTGGGCTAATGCATCAGACTGCAAAGTCATTTGAACTGCAAGGTTGGTGGTTCAAGCTCACCAGTTGCTCCTTGAAAACCCTATACAGGGTCACTATGGGTTGGAATCGATTTGACGGGACTTAACAACAACAACAGGCTTATATGAGCACTTCAAAACGTTGGTGGAAAAGAATTGAAAGATGATTTTTTTTTCATGAATATTTATTCCCTCTAATTGAAATTCTATGTTTTGAAGGTGACATGGATGGCTGTGGGAACCCCTTTTTCATATAAGTCCCTTCTCCTCACTTCAGCCCTTTTCCCTGGAAAACAAGGATCAGAGAGGAAAGATGCATTAGTAGACCCAAAGTCTTGAGTGTTGGCAATCTTACCCCTCTGCTGGATTTTCTCATTCTGAAGTGTGTGCATAGGTGAGTATGTGGTATGCTGTTAAGTGGGGTGAGCTGATCTGGGTGATCCCAGAGGAGAACTCTTTCAGTACTGTTATTGTGTAAGCTTATGATATCTATTTTTTATTTCTACTCTAGAGTCTCAAAAATAAAATAAAAGTACAATATAATAAGAACAGCAAATGTTTGGTTTGTGGCGAGGAAAAGAACACACATCAAATCAGATATCAGTGTTAGGATCAGATTTATTGTGTATTTTACCTTCACCAGGGAGAAGAAGGCAAGGAAGCTGGAGAGCAGACCAGCCTAAATCATACAGAAACACAATCACATCTCTGAAAAGTATACAAGTTGAAAAATAAGGGCCCAAAGCAAACCAGCTATGGAGCCCAAAGTCAACAAGCATCCCATGGGACCCCACCTCATCATTCCATGTTGGATGGATGGATTCAGTAATTTACATGACATACTTTGTTTCATTTTTTAAAAAAAGCACCATCAATCTTCCAATGTCCATTTATTCACTGTTTTTTTCAAGAACATACTCAAAATTATGCAGATTTAAATTTTTGCAGTACCACCAATCCTTTCTTCTAAATCCCCAGGTGGTAAGTGCACAGTTCTTTGAAATTCCATTGGTTGTAAGTCTGAAAGACGAATAAAGTCATGCTTGCTTGGTATACACCCAGAGCTGGGTGAAGTTTTAACCCAAGGGAACTGTGCTAAGCTTCTGTGGTCTTCTCTGGTAGCCACAGCATTCCTACATTGAGACCTTCCACCAGACTGCTGAAAACAATATTTATTCACAGAAATTGATGAAACACAAAGAGAGCTGTCTTCAGAGACACAGATTAAGTCCTGGAGTACTGAGGAAGCCAAGAAGCATGAAGCTACATTGCACACAGAAGTAATCACAGGAGAATGGACTTAAGTTAGCTTTTAGATGTTGCCCACCTTTTTGACTCTAGATGACCCAGTGAGTCGCTACTTTCCCTTGCCAGGGAGTGAGCACTTCTCTTGGGATTTTGGTGGGAAAACTTCCACACATTTCGTCTGGGATAGCTCCTGGCATGCCTCTACACACTGAGGTGGGGCTTGACCTTGGCATGAAGATAGACATGGATCTTGGCCTTGCTGTAGGCAGCTTCCTTGGTTTAACTCCTGGCACTGAGGAAGATGTAACTCCTGAACTTGAGCTGAGCATTTCTCTTGGCAGGGATCCTGAATTTGGGGCAGGCATACCTCCTCAGCCTTTGCCTGGCACACCTCCTGGGTGTTTTGAAGGCATGGAGGGGGTGCACATGGCTGCTTGCACTGCTGATCATTAAAAGACATCTTCAAGTGATTTTCAGAACCTGTAACAAACACAAGATTTGAAATTACCTGCATTAAAAGTACCACTTTGGGGCCTAGGGGACGAAAGGTAGAGAGCAGGACTATTTTTTTTTTTTTTTAAATCCCAACTTCAGCTCCTAGGTGAGAACTGTTCTCCTAGCTTTCATCTGGAAATCCATGCTTTTAAACCCCAGTCCTGGTGTGGTGCTGTGAGTTAATGCACTAGACTGCAAAGCCAGTTTGAACTGCAAGTTTGGAGGTTCAAACTCACCAGCTGCTCCTAGGAAGCCCTATACAGGGTTGCTATGAGTTGGAACTGACTCGACAGCACTTAACAACAACAACAAACTGCAGTCCTAACACGGTCCTTTTGTTTCTCTTCTCATTGCCTATCTCTTTAGAAAAGTCAAGTGCAAGAGACAAGACTAGATAGGATGGTTTGAGAGGTCCAAGAAATGGCAAACCACTTCAAAAATCAGCAGAAAGTGGAGACCAGGGAAGAGCCAGAACAAAAGTTTCTGGGAAACAAAGCAGCCAAGGAGAGAGAGGGCAAAGATGCTCCACTTACCTGATCTTCAATAAGGCTCAGAAAAAGATGCAAATTGTAGAGCCCAGCAAGGTGGGACTTTTATATAGTGCTTAGTCCAGCCTCTTGCTGTCCTGACTGACCACGTGGGTCGAGATCCTAATTGTGGAGTCACCATAACGAGCTTCCTTTGAGATTGCCAATGGCTTGAGTCACTGCTTGGGATGCCTGTTAATCAACCTCCATTTTGGCCTCTGGGTTCTCATCAGACCTCAGCAGGGAGGGACTGCTCTCAGAACTCTGTCATCAGAGCGGCAGGGAAAGAATGTTCATAAAACGTTATCTCAGTCTGTTAAACTAGGGTTTGGATTCCTTGTCTGCCCAAACTGGTTCAGGATGTGATGAGAGATAAGATCCTTCCGTGCTCATCATGTCCTCCTCAATGGGAAGACTCATTGCCTAAAGCCTGGGGTCTGTCTGGGTCAAGAGCATGTATGACCAGTTTCAGACCTTTCCATTTGGCTGTCCTTTTATCTAGCCTGAAAAATCCCACTTCCAGACCTAAGGAATATTACTTGTTCTGTGTTTCTAAGCAAACAAATGTCATACAGCCTCATGGAAAGAGGAGGACCTACACCCCCCTGCATAGAGATCTTGAGGAAAATCAGAGTCATTAGCTGCTCTTTAGTTGTGGGGTAGACAGAAGAGAAAGAAACAGGCATGAGAAGGCTGGCCATCTTCTGAATCCTGATCCATGACACTCTCCAAAAACTGGAATTACTCACTGAGTTTTCATAGTGACCAAGAAGACAGGGTGGAACAAATTTAGTTTGCCTCTTTGCCTCCTGGAAAACCTTTTCTTAGAACTCAGGTCAATAAAACTAGGGGGATGAAAAAGAAAGTTTCAAAGCAAACACACCCAGTTTTCTCTGCCTTCAAGTCTTTGGGCTGCCACTTTTGCCTGGTGTGCCCGCCCTCTCTTTGTGTTGAAATCCTAAGCACTCTTCAAGGCTCCACTCAATATTATCATCTTCTAAGAGCCTTTCCTGATCACCCTTTTTTTTTTTTAATGTTTTATTGTGAATGATGTGATAGTTTACATGGGAGAACATTAGCTTTACATTCATCCTATTGTATATCGTTTCATTGCCATGGTTACAATGCCCTCCATGCATCATCAACCAACCAAAGTGTATACCCTGCAAGCCTGCCCCCTGGTCATCAGCACACAGTCCCTCTTCCTTTCTGGGTCTAAAGTCCTGGACGTTCCATCTCGCCACATCATCGTCTCTGCCTCTATCTCTGGTGTTACTGCTTCTCTGGTAGGGTCCCGCTATCTGCTCTTCTCCCTTGATGGTCTCAGGGACCTCCGCTCCTAGACTGCAAAGTCAATCACTTCCCTCCTTTTGCTATAAAACATCTACCTTTACATTTCCAACGCTCACAGTCAGTCCTGATAACAATTATTCACTATTGTATCACAAGAGACCTATCTTCATCGTTCATCAGCCCCACCCAGACAGATTGGATACTACTCAGTGGAGATTCTACCTGCCCTCTGGATCTAGGCTACCTCTTGAAAATTTGTAAGCCAGTCACTTCTTGCCTTTGTAGCCCTCCCCCACCCCATTTTGGGTAGCCAATGTCCAAGTTGCCCATCCCTGTCTACTCTGTGTATGGAGGAGGTAAGAATTATCCTCGTTGTAAAGCTTTGATCCCTCTTTTGAGCTACTGCATCCATTGGTGAAGGTCAAGTTCGTATTGCTTGTTCGCAAGGTAACAAGCATGTATCAAATTGTATCAGATTACTCTTTTTTTCCTTTTCTTTCTTCTTCTAGTTGAGCTCTGATTATCCAGTCATGGAAGCCAGGTTAAGTGGGTATTATCTGTAAGTGTGGGTGTTCTTATGCATATGCCCTATCTTGTTATCAGCTGGATGCTTCACTCTCCACTCTAGTCCTCTGTGGCTATGTCACTGACTCTGGGCCCAAGAGTCCCCAGATCTTGCCACATCACTGGCCTCCACCCGGATTCACAGGAGTCTATTGAACGTTGTAGGGCTTAGCTCACAGCTTCATTGATGTTTTTCCCTCATTTCCCTTTATTTGTGATGAACATGGTCATTGATCAGAGCATGTATTCCCATTGAATCTTAGTCTTGGAAGGAGGTTTACACTGAGGGGACCCGACCACTTGGCTTGATGTCTCCTGGGCAAGCAACTTGCTTGTTCTTATAGCTGATTACTTTTAAACAGAAATGGATTCACCTCTTTATGAACTCCTGGAATACTTATTGTTTGTGCTATTTAAATGCTATTTGCTATTGTTATTAGGAAATCCAGTCATTTATGTAAGTCCTATACAGGGCCACTGTGAATTGGAACCAACTCAACTGTACTCAACAACAACAACAAAATATATACAATATTCTTGCTTACCTGGGTTGTAACTTCCTATAGGATAAGGGAGTTGGGCTGTGTCATAAGAATAATAATTGGAAGATCATGGAACATAAATGTTCAGTGAGGAGGTATTTGCTTTAATGAAAAAATTGAGAGGATGGATGTGGGAGACTACTGGGAGTAGAGAATGATTTCAAAGAATTGAAAATGAGAAAACATTCATGAAGCTCCAAGTCCATGGACTGTTGGCCTTGTGCTTGCTTCCTAATTAGACAAAGTTAGGGCCTTAAAGATGATGGTGGCCTTTATCACTTGAAGAAGTAGGATTCAATCATTTCCTCAGAATGGTTCTTGTCTGAAGTCAGAAATGGCTCCAGATGGTTACATAGTTTTAGCCATTTGACCTTTTAAAAAGATGTTTAAAAAGGACCTGGGGAGATTACGTAATGTTTTTGACCTTTTATGACTGGTGCACAGTGGACTGAAGCAACACTTGATTGTGGCCTCTTGGTGTCTTGGTAAGAGGCAGACAGCTGTCTGAGTGGGAAGGGGTCAGAGCTGCACCAGGGAAGTGTTGTTGATGCTCTTGTGACAGATAAGATCTTCTGGATCCAGAGAATGGGAGTAGAAGTGTTCAGGGTGAAGGGGGAGGTTTGGGTTTATCTGAAGAGACAGGGTTATTTGGGGAATCTGAGAACTGGGTGATAAGATGGGAAGTTTTCATTTTCTTTATCCTTCTCTTCTTTTTCTTCCTCCTTCTTCCCTTTCTCTTCTTCCACAAGATCTCCATTGCCTTTTCTGTGAGACATCACATCATCTTTTCTAAGAGACAAACAACCCTCCTGTATTCTAGGAGGCAGGGAATTCTCCATTATCGAGTTTATTCATTAATTCTTTCAGTCATTCCTGAGCTTGTTTCCAAGGTACTTACAGTCTTATGGAGAAAATGGGAAAAAAAGACAAATATTATCCCCTACTCAGATTCCTATAAGAAGACAGTTATATTAGTCTTGGGTGGAAAAGGTGGACAATCAGGGAAGACTTCTGGGAGAGGAGAGGTCTGTGCTTTGTCTTTTTGGATTACACTAGCAAGGAGGGTGAGTGGGAGAAGTCCAGGCAGCCTAGAGGAAGGGACTCCTGTAAGGAGATGCAAGTGAAATGTGAGAAGACTATGAGGCAGACTCAGAAAGGAGGTGACGTAAGGAAATTTGCATGAATAATGTTTTCAGAAGTTTCTTACAGCAGATTATATGAAATGACCTTGCTTGTGCCAATTGTATATTTCTGGAGGTTTAGTTGAACCCTAAGAAAAGGAACTGGACAGGAGTGTACATAACAGTGGAGAAAACAGGCCATGCTCTCATAGATTGCGGGAACCCAGTTAGGCAGATCCCAAACTTTGACTCTTCTATTGAGTTGTGGTGTTGAAGGAGAATATTGAAAGTGCCACTGGCTGCCAAAAGAAACAACTGATCTGTGTTGGAAGAAGTGCAGCTAGGGTGCTCCTTGGAGACTAGGATGGCCAAACTTTGTCTCTCATATTTTGGACATATTGTCAGGAGGGACCTGTCACTGGAGAAGGATATCATGTTTGGTAAGGTGGAGGGTCAGAGAAAAAGAGGAAGCCCCCCAGCAAGATGGATTGGCAAAGTGGCAGTATCAATGGACTCAAGTGTGGCAATGATAGTGAAGTTGGCCCAGGATCGGGCATTGTTTCGTTCTGCTGTGCATAAGGTCGCTATGAATTGGTACTGACTCAATGGCACCTAACAACAACAACATCAAAGAACTTCCTGCCGACCAACCATTGAGCTGATTTATGACAATGGAACAACACTGGAATTGGCCCCAAAGTCCTTCTGTGATAGGTAGGTTAATGACCTTACAAGATGTCCACAACCTAATTCTTAGAATTTGTGAATATGTTATGTCACATAGCAAAGGGAAATTAAAGCAGCAGATAGAATTAAGGTCACCAATAAACTAATTTTAAAATAGGGAGATTACGTCGGATTATCCAGGTGAGCTAATGTAGTAACAAGGTCCTTAAATGTGGAAGAGGGTGACAGAAG